TTTTCAGTGAATACGAGAAGCAGTTTCTTCTTTTCCCTGGCTCTGATGTTAAAGCTTTCATGTTGAAACGTGAGTAGAAAGAGAACGACTGTTTGATGTGACACCATATTGACAATAGCCCCACAGACAAAGTGCTGTTTCAAACTAAAATAAATACAGGGAATCTTAAAGTCACTTTGCCCTCACAGCAAGGCAATAAGCACCAATATTCACACTCAACAGAGACGCTGTTCCTCATCCACAATGCAGTGCCTCAGTTGAACTGGGAGAACTTCGTAAAACTTTAATTTAAAATGTTACTTCCAACTGTTGCCCTTTTATCACTATCTATTCCCACTAAGGCTGACAAAAAAATAGGGCCAAAGTAAAAAAATGCTGCAACAGTATTTTGAAAAACAGTCAGCTGAAGATTTAACTGCGAAAGTAACGCATTACGCAATGTGCGTATGAAGTTTTTCCAGTAATAGTTGGTCTAACATTTACAAAGTGATGGCCAAGAGAGAATAATAATTAGGAACTTAAGAGAAAAAGGCCAAGTTGTTTATTTATTCAGGAAAGTGTAACATCAAAAAATATGCCTTGGGCTCCGACTTGTACTAACATCAGACAACTGAATAAAGAATTGGAAAAGGAAACTTCATCTTGTTTAAAGTCATCATCCAAAGAAGACATCACCCGAATTTCAGACATAAATTAGCCAACTATCCTTTGATTATAGGAAGCTTTACATACTGCCTAAAATAATTTGATTAACCCAGCTCCCTGAGCCTTGGGGAGCTGAGTGAGTGACTTTTGGAGGACTTTGGAAGAATACTAAATAAGGTAGATTATCTCTTTGAAGTTATCCTCCAGACCTTACATAAAGAAAATGATATGACCTTCTCACATTTTAAATCAATCGGAAAATAGTCCACATTAAGCTTCTGAGACTTCATTTTAAAACAGCTATGTACAGACATTGATTTCACAAACATGCAGGGCACCATTCTGGATTAAAAGTGAACAATTCCTAAAAGGTTGCTCAATCACTGATCCTCTCAAAGTAAGTTCTGTTTTATGACCTACTCCACGATATTACCAAGACACATAAACCTTCACGGACTCATTAATCTTTTTCTTTCTATCTCCTTGAGCTTCAAGCTAGGTTGGGGGAGGGTTGAAATAAATGCTTCACATGCCAGGCAGCATCAGAGTCATCTCCTCTTCTGTAATTAGTTCTGATTATACCAGATATTTGAAATAAATAAATAAATAATGCCCTATGAGGAATGAGGGCTAAGAACAGGATTAATAGGGGAGCGAAACAGTGTGGATCAGTTTCACTTAGCTACACTCAGGCTGCCTGAATTGTGTTTATTTGGGAGTAAACATGACACATGGGAATCAGAGTCACACACATGATGTATAATGCATGTAATATTCCTTGAACCAGTAGCAATGTGCCGCGCAAAAACAAGAAATTGGGCTCAGTACAGTGTTAAGAACATTGTTTTCCAACTGTCAAGTGATTTGCGGAGTGAAAGCCTCAGGGAGCATATGTTATCACAGATCTACATTTCATTGGGATGACAGTGTGGCACCGAGCCAGATGCGTTTGACTATAGGATCAGTGCTTTACGTTTAGGAGCAAAAACAAATCCATATGCTAAAGATTAAACAAGCTTAAGTCTTTTATTGTCAACAATATGTTGTGTATTACCATTTTAAACATAGGCTGTGTAAACGTTCATGGTGCGGTGAAATAAAGAGGAGCAATGACAGATGGTTTCTATTAATGTCTACGGTCCCCTGACGAGTGTGAAAATATTGTATGCCATTTATAACATGAGATAACACAAGACTTTTCTGACGCCCCAGAGACCCAGCATACAGACTGTGATTAAAGCAAACAATAAAAAAAAATAGCTTTGAAAAAGTTGCTATATTGCATTACATTGCATTTAGCTGTTTTATTTATAGAGAGCCAGGTTAGCTCTTTCCAAATGATTCAAAACGTTTTGCTAAGCTAACTAATGGCTGTAGATGTATATGTATTATACAAACATGAGAGTGGCATCAATCTTCTCGTCCTTTAGTCTAACTTTTGAAAATAATATAAGAAAACCTGCACCCTTAAATGTCAAACTATTCCTCTAATACATTTTCATAATAATAGTATAAAAGTTATTATGAAAAAGAGGTAGGTAGGGCTATATTTATTAAAAAGTCGAGTTGTAAAAGTATTTGATTTAAATACTATAATGTCTGAAATGTCAGGGCACACTATTTTTAATATGATCATTATTATTAGATTTGACAATGACCTTAAAGAAATGAGAAGGACATCTTAATAATAAACAGAGTTATAAACGTGATAAAGAGCAACTTACTAAAGCATGTTAGTGCTTTAAAAAAACATCAGTTTTGATCTATTGAGATAATGTCCTATGATTAGAAATAATTAACATATACTGTAGGTGGATGACCATTATAACGTTTATTATTGATCATAATTAGAAAAAAGGACATTTTTGATGGTGACCTCTGAGTGTGGAGCAGCTGTGGAGATGTGAGCAGCGAGTGAGTCAGGTCCGGCTGAGTGGGAGCGGGTTAAGTCTTGGTGTGAGGGGGTCACAGCTGGCTGAGGCGGTGGTCACAGTTGCTGTGATGGCAGTGGGCACAAGTGAATGCCTGAAGCTTGGCTTCTTGTTCTTAGGTGGGCAGAGCTGTGCCGGCCATCTGCCACACTTCATCATGGAGGGGTGGGAGGAGTTGTTCAGGACGGTCGTGTCCATCATCCTCCTCTCAGCCTGCAGACTGTGCAGTTCCAGCCCGACCACAGAGTTGGACTTCCTTATTATTGGCATCGCCAGCCTTCATGCCACACAAAAATCCAAGAACAGTGCTCTGACCACGGCTGACTTTCAACAGCCTGTCGGGCATACTGAAGGATTTCAGTTTCCTCATAGAGAGGGTTGTGATATTTGCCATGCTTCTTTTTCTGTCAGCCATTAACCTTTTGAGTTTTGTTGGAAACATTAAGCTTTTATCAACAACTCAAGATAAACTACTTCTATTAAAGTGTAATTAGTATTGCAGAGAAGTCGGTGATGAAACTGTGTTGATTGTATCCATGTGGATACAGTCCAGTTTGTAATGTAGCTCCAGCAGCAGCACTTTGGAGACAAACAGTTGTGACTTTGAAATATCATAGTATTCAAAATCAGGGTCAAAACTATTAAATATCCAGCATGTACTGTAAATAGGACCTAATTACTTTCACAATTACATAATGGTGTGCCAGATTTATGTTGTGCTTATGTTGTACTGGCACAACAAGGTTAGATAATAAAACACAATGACTGATGTTGCCTATTAACATTGTTTTCTTTATGTAATTTGATTTTTCTTAGTTATTTGCCCTTGATCAGTGGCCTGAAACATGCACTTCAGGTGCAGTGAGGGATGAACAATTGTTCCCACTTCACAGATTTGCTTACCTAACACTTATTTTTGGAAGCGCATCTTCCCAAACTCATTCACAGGGGAAAAAAGGAGATAACATACTGTCAAATTCATTATTAAACTTGATTGAACAAAGAGCCATTTGCAGGGATCTAAAATAATTCCCTTTGCCAAGCCACTTAGTGAGGGCGCCATCAAAAAATTAACTTCAAATACAACTTGGAACAAAACAAGAACAGTGGGATGCTGAGTGAGTTTATCTCCACGATTGAAACCAGTGGTGTTCCTTTGGACCATGAAATTGTCATTTGTTCTGCAAGCGTTACATCAAATGAGAGTTCAGGGTCATGCCAGGACTGTTCGTTGGTGCTAAGCTTATTTTAAATTGTTATCTGAGGGAATCTCCATGGATAATTATATTTGGCTCAGATAGACAGGTAGGCGAACACGTGCTAATCCAGGCCTGTGTGTTCATGAAACACAACATGAAACAATGGCATCCATCCACAGAGCTGGATGGAAAAGTTACAACAACACTGAGCGGATTCACCATGCAGTATGAATCCTCACATGTACTGTAAGTGCAGGTGCATATGAGCATGTGTGAATATTTCAGGATGTTTTCAATTCAGTGGCTGTTGTGTCCCTACCAGTGAAAGCTTTTCAGTGTGAGTGCTTTCCAGCGTGTTTCTGTGCACATGAACAGTATTAAGAAGAAATAATGTAACCATAGTGAGAGATTACATTCTGTGACTTGCTTAAAACCATTAGAGAGAGAGAAAAGACGACCAGGCAGAGGGGATTACTCCGAGCTTGAATGTGGAAGCGGCAGAACATAGTGAGGGAGGGGGGGACGGCACAAGGGCGACATTGACAGTGTAGCACTGACAACAGCACTGGCAGCAGATCAGGTTAAAGAGTCTGGCAGAAAGCCAACTGATTGTTCTAGAAAGAGGAAAGCACGGGGACAGAAGGTAGAGAGAGGGATATAGGAAGATTAAGACAGAATGGGAGTGATACAACTACACAGACAGTCCAGATTCCATCTTACAAAAAACAACAAAAACCAAAGGCCTTAGCCACCAACAGCTTCCTTTAATATACACTGCAGTTAGAACTAGAGGAGTGGGAGATTGGTGGTGTTTGAGGTGAAAAAGCCACAAAGAGAAGAAGAAGAAGCAGAAGAAGCCATTAGCATTATGAAAAGCATCAGACCCAGAGGCCTGCGGAACAGCCACTTTAATGACACTACTGTTTGCTCCGCGTGGGGGTGGGGGTGCCGGCGTGGTAATGAAAAGAAGGGTGTTGTGATGACACAGGCTGCGGGAAGTATATATAGCAACGCTGTATAAGCCAAACCAAAAGAATAACAGAAAAAATAAGGAAAGCAAATAAAAAAACAAATAAAGGACATACAATGAAGCTGTACACCCAGCAGGCATTCCAGCCAGCCAATTGTTAAAACTCAAGATGGAGGAGAGGAACTCAGCTGGGGTTAGTACGAGGCAGCGGACCTCTTTGCTGATTCGGTGTACAGCATGGTGACATATACTGACCTGGGCTTGAGACAGCACTAGTGGTCGTGGGTTCAATAATTGCTACAGGGGAGGAGAGGGGGGAAGGGGGAGGGGGAGGGAAAGAGGACATTCATGTATTATTAACAGAATGGAGACGTAAAAATAAAAATAAAGATGCATGCAAGGACAAGGGACAGGGAATGGAGACAAATCCTCTCCATGCATTAAGGACCTGTGTCTATATGGCAAGATGCACTCCACATGCTCATAAACAACATCTTTTATCACACCAATCGCCTCGGATGTGTACGGGTTACTGCCCAGGAAAAAGGAAAGGAGGGAAACCTGGGGAGCTCGGGCAGCTTCTGGGCTCTGAAGGGTTTTATGATTGGGTGAAACACTTTTGTCACACTAATGGTATGCTAAACAACTGGCTCATTCTCCATGTCCTTCTTTAAGGTTGTATGAACCGGCCGAGAACTAAAGGAATAAGAAAGGGTATTTTTCTCTATTTGAAAGGGAGGTAATTCAAGAAAATAGTTAACATTTCTAGTTAACACTTATCTCTACAAGATCTCTAATCCTGCTTGGATAGCGAAATGTATCATCATTCACTCGTATTGTTCAACGGCTTCTTTTTACATTCTTCACTGTTGTGAATTGACATTTTCTAAATACGTAGATTGTTTCTTTTGTAATATAACATTTTCGTCAAATTGAAAGTTTGATGTAGTCTATTATTATTACATCCATACATATGCATTGTTTAGAGGTTTTAATATTAAATTGCATGACAACACTAATCAAATGAATGCAAAAAAATGCAGTTGCTTTTGATTGTAGCTTGGCTATCTAAAAATGGCAGGGTTTCTTGAATTATGTCCACTGCTGTGCTTGTGACGATTCTCTCTGTCCTATCAGTGGACTGCAGTGTTGAAGCTCCACTTTTTGGTATGAGCTTTGAACATCAACAGTGGTGGTTATCAAATAAAGTACCAGATATTATCAACATATTTTGCTACAGTAAATGAAACCCAAAGAAGAAGGGTTCCAAGCAGAGTGGAGTTTAGCTGTGCCACACCCTTCAGTTAAAGAGCGCCATCAGTCTGTCTAAGATCGCTTTGTGGACGTAACTACAAGAGTCCCAATCTGATTACCTTATGAACTCTTATAGGCTGAGCTACTGGTGGCATTTAGGAAATGGAATAATATGACTTCCAGAAATGTTTACTCCAGTGTGTCAAACTATAATTAAAGCTTAGTGTGTCCACGGAAGGATGGCAGGAAAACACCTTCCTTACTTTAGAAGTGCAAGAGTAAAATGTCACACCAAGTAGATCCTATGCTTATTCATATGTATGGTAAACATGTTTCCCAATGGACTGATAATAGATGCAAGGTTGTGAATAAAAAAAACGAGGTATGTATGACTGTTTTAACACATAGCCAACAAATTACCACCACACATTTAGGTCTTCATGGGGTTACTGATACGAGGTACTTAAAAATGACTTGGCCAATTCCTTTGATTTCTGACTTTCCAAAGTTTAAAGCTCAACCTATTCCCTGATGTGCAGCATCAATTATTCACTGCTGTTTTGGTATAACGAGATCACTGTAATGTAAACATTACAGCCTATTTGATCTGAAGCTTGAAACAAATAAGTAAATAGCATAGCTTTCTGTTTGGTAAACAAGCTCTAAATTCAAGATAAGCTGTGACGAGCTTTGTGCAGTGACTCATTCGGGAGCAGATTCTGGGATGTCTGGCAAAGCAAAGCTGTACTTTACCATCAGAGCTCAACTCAAAGTGATTCAGTGGTTGGACTCATAGGGATTTTATTAGCTTTGAGTATGTGGCACACCAACAGTGCGACTTACACTTGCAGCTGAAAAACTATTTTCTACTCTTCAAAAATGTGAAAACCACCTTTTCCAGAAGGCTTCATGGTGGAGGAGGAGCTTATCCATCAACAAGGGAAACCATAGCACCCATGATAACACCTCACAAAGAGAAGAATAACACTCTATAGTGTTGCAGTTAGCTGCTGTATATAGGCCATGCAATACAGCAGAAGCCTACTTAGAACCTCCATTTTAATCCATTTACATGGAAAGGGGAATTGGCCATTTCAATTGTGGGGCAAAAGGGTGCGCTGTCGTCCTCACCGTGCTCTCAATCTGTTGTAAGTTTTTTTTAGAAGCAATCTAACAACTGGATAATAACTATGTTGACTTTTAAAATGCTATTGATATGCCAACAATAATAAAAACATTTGCTTTCATTTGATTTCATCATTCTTTTTGATGGGGAAACTGTGTAGGAATCAGTATTCACACTTGAAATGATATGCCTTTTCCCTCAGTATATCGGTGGGGAAATGGTCAAATGTATCTTCTCTTCCACAAATGTTTCCACTTTAAGTACTCCTGTGGGAGCCCATATGTGAAGCTAGTTTCGTTTGAGTTTTTTTTTCACACAGGCAGGCGGGTGCTATCTGATTAATACTTGAGCATGGACTCACCAGTGAATCATTTCATGAGCTCTCAGAGACTCGTCCGTTACTGTGGAACATCTTTTGACATGCAATCTCTCCCTCATAGCTCCACCACACTGACTAAGGCTCTTTCTCTAATTCAGCAGAGCAACGCATCATTTCACGCAGTGTATATGGCAGTCGACCTTGCACTGCCTGCTCACTTGCAAGATAAAACACATTAGTTTTCACAGCTATTTCATTTCATGGATTGCTATTCTCTTTGTTCTCTTTAGACGGGATAATGCAAGAGATTTAAAGAACATGATTTGTAGGAATCAATGTTCATGTGGGGCCCCGCTCGGTTATCTTATCAAAAGCATAATGAGGAGTTAATGCTAAAGCTGCAATGTGACGACTCAAACAGCTACAGTACAGTATATAAGCGGTTCGTCCTTAAGATGAGATGGGTTCAAGTATAGTTTTCAGTAGAAAGACAAGATAGCAATTTAATAAGACCAGATCAAGACAAAAACCCAAAAGAAGTATTCAGCAAAGTGGCTGAATGTGTTGCACATTTCCAGTATGTATGCCAAAAACAAACGCCTGAGTAATTACATGCTGAGTCAATAATATTGATCCTAATACTATCAAACCTCCTCCGACCAATGGCTACATTTTGTGCTAAAGTGAAGTAGAAGTCTTAGTTATTACCTAAATAAGAAGGAAGAGGATGATCCAAAGAAATTCAAATTCATCTTCACTGCTCCATTTGAGTGCATTATCGAGTTATTCTTCATGCAGGGACACATTCCTTGTGTAAAGTCTTTAGCTATACTATTTCACATTTTCCTCACAGAGCCCTCAGTGATGATGGAACAGTCCGTGTTAAAGACTGTGTTAATTAGTGAGCCAGAAAATTACTTATTCATCCTATGTCCTTTTTAATGCTGTCCAGAGAGTGTATCATCCTGTGAGCATCAACTGGGCTCAGTCATCCAAGGATGAGCATTCCTAGCAGTGCATCTGGCCTCCAACATGAGTCTGCGAGGTCGGCTGGGTATAAAGTCCATTGCCCGCTGGGCTGCAGGATGAACACTCTGTTTCAGCACCAAACATTTCCTCATCGCAGTGAAACGGGAAAATGTTAATGGCTTTTCTGATTGCCAAAATATGGAAATTCAGGCATTCAAATTATAGGTAAATGGCACAACACTGTAAGGGTGCTCTTGAGGGAAATAAAGGACACTGCAACACCAGCGTGTTCAATTTTTTAGCACATTTTGATATGTGACTATTTGAAAATTAAACCACCTAAAAACTATGTCAAAATAATCCATTGTGTTCATTTTAAAACACTGAAATGCAATCAGAGAAAATGATGAATACTGCCAGGATCCAGCTGGTTTTATGAGCAATTTAGGCAAATGAGAAGAGGAGGTAGGTACTTTACAAAAGATAAAAACAACTTGCATAAACATGCCTTCCAATCCCCACATGGCTCCAGTATTATTTCCCTGCATTACAGGCTGCAATCACACACCAACATTTCAGGTATCACCTTTTGCTCCCATTTTCCTGCATCTCTGCTCCATGACTCAGATACAATCACACGGTTCGAGAACAAACAACATCATCAACAACAATGGCAGATGAGGAGAAATGACACGTACACATGGGGTGATTGATAAGCGTGACAAACGAACATGACGTTCATTAACCAACTAGCCAGCATTGTCTCTCTTGCCTGAGGGAGGCTGTGCAGTGTCAGAGAGAGAGAGAGTAACTATTTTTCTCCCCCATCAGTCTCTTCCGATTACCGGTTGGGGAGGGGAGGAGGGGAGAGGAGAAAGGAGGAAATGAAGGCAGAGGTATAGGCGGAGAAAATCTCCTCCAGGACTAAGCCGAGGTGGGCTGGGGGATAAGAGCTTGACCAATTAAGCTGGAGGAAAATTGGAGTGAACGACGGCCTCAGTCTTTTCATCGAAGTTCACTTCCATCTAGCACATCAAATGGGAAGTTGAAATAAGGATTGCCAGTTTGCTCTGCTAAAATCATAAAGTGTGTGTGAGTGCCGTCTCTAGATAGTGTGCATGTGCAAGGAGAGACTGTCAGAAACACAACCGGACGATGCTTAGGTATATAACATGTTTTTTTCCCTGTATTCTCTTGAACAGACAGGGGCTCCAGAAACTTCTTATTAAAAAAAAACTTTTTATACAGTTTTATACAGTATTTATTTGTATTCTAAAGGAACACGGAGGCATGACTTATGGATGACTTCGTATTAACCCCAGTTTGTGCATCATGCATTACCGTTACATTGAAGTCCAAGGGCTATACAAACATTTAATATATGACTTTGTATGAAAGTATAAATAATTGGAAATAGTGTAACCATACAGTGGTATTATATACCAATTGAAAGGATAATACAAATACTGTCAGTTTTGTACAAATTGAGCACAGAGATATGCCATCTCTACAGTATGTACCATGTTTGTATGGAATTGAAAAGCAATGCTCATAATGGTTTAAAGAGTCTCATTCCTGCCATACCTTCAGAACAGCGGTAAATGATGCTCAACAACCTTGAATTTAACGGTGATATATATGAAAGACACAGTCTGGGCCCAGCTCAGTAGTATGTCTGTTTATTTGTAGAAGAAAATAACTAAGTATTTTAAAACATCAATCATAAACTAAAGATTATGTTGACTTTGTATGCGTGTAACACAGGCTATTCTCATTAATGACTAGATTATAAAACATTATCGCCGTCACAGTGTGCTGAATCAAAGCTTTTTACCGCTCCCATCTGTAACCGGTTGGGCTGTTAAAACAGAAGGTTTCTAATCTTCTGCTGCTTTAACCTTAACTTTCCCCATGATCCAAACTCAAAAAGAGCATGTGTTTGAGGAAAACTTGAATAAAAAGCACACGCTATATAGTACACTAATTCCTAAACAAACAATTGCAAAGCAAGCACTTTATGATACATACACTTCTGGACATGTGAGCAAAACTGGTTCATAATCAAATACATGCTGACTGTAACATCTGCCCACAAAACTAACTCATTTGGGCAAGCTGTGGCTTCTTCATGGCAATAACTTTAATGTGCAATGTCGAATAACTCAATAAGTAAATTAACAAACACATCAGCATATCATACTGCAGCTGGTTTATCCCACTTTTGTTTAACTTTACTGCTTTGGTTTTGTACAACTGCTAATACAGACCGACAAAAAACGATTAAGCTATGATTTTCTCCGAAATCTGAAACCTCATTAATTGAGATTACTTTTCTGTTGTTACAGTTAGGCTATTGAGAGAAAAAAACCTGCGTCTTGTTATTGAATCTAACTTACTGAAAATAAATCACAGCAGGAATCAGACCTGTGAAATCTCTGGTTCAGTTGTGATGAATTAAATACAATATTTAATCTGCAAAAATATATAGAGGCAGAACATCTTCCCAAGTGATTTCTGATTATTTGTATGCAATCATTCAAGCTTATTTTCCTGCTCATTCCATCTTTGTTACTAAACAGCTGTTCAGAAGTGCTCTTTTCTGCTTTATTATTTGTTCATTCAATGATTATATTGTGTATTGTGTTATTCAAAAAGAAATCAGAAATGAAAACCTTTTTGCAAACACAAACACAGAGTACTTCTTCAACAAGTAGTGACAAAGAGGATGTATGCTTTTGTTCTGCTCCGAAGAATTCAGTTTGTGTTTTACCACCACTTTAAATACACAGCTTAAAGTGGTACTTAGCTGAAAGAGATCACAAACCCTGACTAATGGATAAGCAGCACAGAAACCCACTTGGTTTCAACACAACTGGCAGAATCCAAACCAGCACATCCGCACACAGTGACATTATAGCCGTCAAGAATGCAGAAATAAGCCAGAACCTACCATGTCAACCTATGCACAAAGCCAGGATGCAAATTGTGTTTCCCTTGAAACAGAAACATGCTGTCTTCCAGTGGCTGCTTTGGACGGAAGGCAGTGGAGTTTTCTCTCCCTGAGAGAGGCCTTTCCAGGGTAACAGTTAATCTCATCAGAGATAATGGCAAGCCTTTTCCCAGACTGATTTAAAGTGGCTATGTCAGGTTAGAAAAAACATGATTTACACTGCTGAAGGATAAGCACATTTAAACTTCAGAATCTTGAAAATAACCCTAGTGCTTTGTATTTCGGTTGATATTTAATCTTTTTACCTAGTGGATGTATTTTAAGAAGGCTATTTGAATTGGGTTGACCTCACTAGACCAATTCATGCACAGTAATCAAACCTTGTTATATAATAAAAACATCCAAATAAACTATTACGCATACATAAATACTCAATTACTTCACCACAAACCACCCACATTGTGTTCGCACTCAACATTCACCTCGATGTATGATGCTCTATCAAATATGCATGCCCTTTTCCCCTTTCCCATCTCGCTCATCAATAGCTATCGACTGGTTCTAAAATAGCAATCCAAAGTCACCGGTGGTGAAATCTAACCTCTGGGTTTTGTTATTTGCGTCAATGTACCGGTGAGAGCACTGTGGCGATTGCATGCCATTTCTCATTAAGAGCGACAGCAGAATTGGCTTGTCTTCTATAAGTGGAGATCATGAGAGAGAACGGAAGAGACTAGTGATGCTGTGTGTGTGCAAGAAAGAGGATGATAGAGAGGAAGAATGAGAGACAAGGGGGGGGAGGACAAAGAGTAAGAGAGTGAGCTAAGAGAATCAGAGAGACGATGCCACAATAGAGACAGACAAAGAGATAAAGAGAGGGAATGAAGGAGAGAGAAGTTGGGGGTGGCAGCACAGGAAGCTGCCTCCTCTGACTATTCTGAGGGCTGCTTTGCCGCTTCTGCCTTTGAGGCCCTGCTAGTGTCACATTAAGATCATCCATTTGAGGATCTCAGACAAGCCTTTGATGTTCTTTGTGCATACACAAACAGGAGAGTGGAGTTCTCCTTTGACAATTGCCAACTCTACAGAAATATATTTTTCATATTCTGAATCGCTGGCCTGCTAGGGACAACGTTATCATCAGAGGGTGCAGCGCAAACTGGTGAATCATTTAATTCACCTGTTCATATTTCATACTGACTACATTTAATGGAATTGTTCAACCATACTAACCCTCAAACGTTAAGGAAGAACATATGCTCACCCTCCACTTTTGCAGGTTGGCAGATAAAGCAGGTGGACAAAATAGCTGAAATGCCAAACAGTGTGGTCCTAGAAATACTTGAGTGCAAGTACAAGTTTGCGGATGTGTGTAGATGGATTTTGTAACATTCTTCGAGAACTAAGTTAAAAGCCACTTCCCATAGAGATTTAAAGATGAGCACACGCTCAGGGGAGCTGCTGTGGACTATAGACCTTAGAATGTGTTCAAAATGAGTGAAGAGGATTTCCCTCTTTTGAAATAGAGGAAAATGTAACCCTGTTTGTGCACCAGGAATCCAAACAGCTTTGTAGTCTTCTCTGTTGATTGACCTGTTGACAGACCCTAGCTTTTAAGCACGACAATGGGAATAAGGCTTGGGGAATTTCAAAGGTGCTTTTATCTTTTTAGATTTTTGATCATCTCTGAAATAATGGGCCTATTAAGGAAATCAAGAACTTCATTCAGACATTAAAATCACCAGTTAGTCTTTTAATAGACTAATAGCCTTGTTTTCATTCAAATCTAGAGTGTATTACTTTTCAGAGGCTTTTCAAACTCAAAGCTATCTAAGACGATTGAAAGGAGGTTTCAATACACCACATCACCTGTCCCAGTGCTCAATCAGGATCTCGTCATACAATGGCATCTGCCTTTACTGTATGTGTTGGCTTTCCTATAAGGGTTATCTGAATAATTGATCCGATAATTACTACTTTGTTAATATCCTTTGCTATTCTTTGCTAGAGCTTTGTCACAGATGATTTGATACAATTTCTTTGTTTATCTCCGCTTTTTTTTCCACAATGACCAATTCCCATTGCCCTGTAGTTGTAATGCCTCCTCTAATGTTGGCCTGGGTGGAGAGTTGACAGCCACATGACTCAATACATATCAAGCCCACAAGCCCTCACCCGAAGGGTAAAATGTTGTAGTAGTTGCTGCTGCCTGAAGAATGAAGCTGGGTTCATGCCATGATAAGCTGCTGTTTTTTGTCTGCACCTGTTTTGGGAAAGCTTTTGTCTATGCTTCAGGTCGCTTAGCAAATCATCTACTTTTCAGTAACTGAATTTATAAAGAATCCTTCTATAATCGTGTTAAATATCCGCAGTCTATTGCTGATGCACCACCAGTTTGGCCTCTGATTATTTGGCCTCTTCGGTTATTAGTCAGAGCCTCATGGCGTCTTGAAAACTGTGAAAGGCCTGACTCTCAGACCTCTTAAAAGTCTGAGTCATACCGCTACTTGGCATTCAACTTAGCACGGCTGACCCGTGTATCTTCCTTTGTAATTGTGATGCTGTTACCTCAAAGCTACATTTGCTTTTTATAGGTGGTGTTTTTGTCCAGTACACATGCAGATGTAGACTTTAAAGCAGACACACAACAACACCCACACACACAGACTTTGCAGCAATAATAGGCAATCAACATTCACAAAGCTGATGACAAATAAACCATTTCCACTGGTGACATGTGAGCCCCCAGTTGCAGCACTGGGTTTAATGTTAGCTTTTCTTCCTATATAAAGAATGCTGTGGCAAAATGAAAACACTCCTGAGCACACAAACCCCCGCTGACATCCACACAACCTGTCAGCCCTCTCACTCTCCACCACACCAGTTAGCTACAAGCAGATAGAATGACAACTTACGAATGAGAGGCACACTGGCATTAGCCGTCCCTAGCTTGTTGGTGGCGACACATGTGTAGTTCCCGTAACGATCCTCTGTCATGTTGGTCACTGTGAGGATTGATCTGGAGCTGAGATTCTTGATGTCGATGCCTTGACCCTTGTTAATCCTGAAAACAGAACACAATCGCAAGAAATTAAGTCACACACAATGAGTCAGTTGGGGGTGCGCCTTGTGTCAAGGACGGTACAAATGTTTGTCGTCCTTTAGTGGATCTTCAGATTGCGCAGTACTTCATCATCCTCTTCAACAGATCTATTTATCCCTTGGACTGTCACGTCTGCCTTAGAGAGACGCTTTGAAGGACTGAGAGGGGAGAGAAATGACCCAGAGTTGAACCAGCTGGGTGCCACTTGACATGTTGTTCATTGTTGTGTTGCAGGTGCAGAAGGAGTGCAATAAATCCTATTCCAGTTGTGCTTGGCATTAGGATGGAAGCCCTGAGAGGCAGGATGGGAAAACAAATGTAGGGGCAATGATTGATGTCTAATCGGTTTGATATTGAATTACTTAAGCTTAAACTAAATTAACCATCTGAGACTCAATGTAATATCACGACTCAAATGATATAATGATCTTAACTTTAGATTAAAAAATGAATGACAGCCTCTCAAAGACAGTAATGTTGGCCGGCATTCCCGCAGGTCTCAAAGGCTAAAATCTCATACATAAGAGTTATCGCCCAAATATTTTTTTCTCCACTCTGCATCTCATTGTCTTCTATTCATCTGTGCCTTAACATTGACAAATGTTCAATTTTTTTGTTTGGTCATCATGTAGATCTTTAGCAGCTTGTAGAAATGTGAATGCCCGCTATAAAAGTAATCCACATCCTGATAGTGAGTTTATCAAAGATGAACGGGTTTGATTTCATTGGTGTGGTTGGTTTTACTGCTACAGTATCACCTTTGAAATGATAAATCATAAAAACCTCCAGAGTAAAATATGTTCTCTGTTGGCCTTGCTGTGGCCCCCTGTGATCTTTAGCTTGGCTGGAGTTGCTCTGAGAGGACTGTGATTGGAAACACTGTGTGTGACCTTATGTCCAGTAAATATCTGCAAATCTGTTGTTTCCCCTCCCACGGTGATCTCCTCCAATGTAAGCTGAACGTTCACTGATAATCTTAGCGGGGGTCTCGCCTTTCCACTATTTTAACATCAAACTAGTCAATGCTCCCCTTTGTCAAAGTGAACGAAACACCCCCTACCCGCGCACAATAACACACTCAACCACTTCTATTCAAGAGTGATTTCCGTCACACATCAAGAGAAAGACTTGGTTGTCAAAACTGTCACTCTATTTCCGACAGAGATAGGCTAGCAGCAGCAATATACTGATAGTATGGCTTCATCCAGACAGCCTAAATACTGTATGAAATGGCCTTTCCCATGCACAGTAAATGGGAAACATAGTATTGAAAGTCAGTGGTAATGTCGTACAGACGCCACAAATGTTCTGCGCTGAAGTCCTTCTACTAAAGTCCTTTCTGTGCTGTGGAGTAAATGAAGAAATCACCATTTAGCCATATAAGAAGTCACAAAAAGAACGAGTCCTTGAATTAAGTAAAGACTAGAATCATGCCAACTTGCCTCCTTAGCAATTTGAATAAATTGAATCCAACCCATAATTACAATTAGCACAGTGTGAGCTGATGATTGAAATTGTGCTCACCAGGAGTGGGTAAATGATGGGTAATGGGGGTAATTTGGTTTTCAAATTCAAGAACTGACGTTGATTCTAGGCTGATTGATGTATATGCTGCAAATGATTTAAGCCGCTTGCCAGCAAACGTTTTATTAAGATGCAAGGTGAGGACAAAGCACAAATGACTCTTGCAGGGACATTTGTGTTGGCTCTCCCTGGAGGATGGACAAATGGCACATCAAACAAATGCATTGTCTCTGGGAAAAAACAAACAAATTCAAACCCAAACTTTCTAATCGCACTACTACGCTTACTTTTCGACAAAGAAGTATGACCTCATACAGTCTAAAATCCGCAGATTTTTATTCAAATGGTTTATCATAACACACCTTGAGAACCTCAGTAATAACATTTTAATTTTGTATTTGTTTATTTTACATTTACTTCCGAAAGAGGCTTTGTGGTTTTTATTGAATTACTGTAGGAATAGTTCACAAGAAGTACAATTAACATTTTAGGCTTTTCAAGGATTTATTAACTGTAAGTATTAGATCATGTGTGGCACACTTACTAAACCCATTTCATACTTGAGCTAAAATTACCTTAAACACTTCATATCACATAATTAACCAATTGTAGAGTATCCATAGTCATACAGGTGGAATAGCCCCAAATGTCTAGTGACAACCTCTTGCCAATGTAGTTCACTTTTAAATGCAAATAAATGCTGACTTTATGACTTATATTTCACAATAGTTATAACCATCTGTTAATAATGTTTTCTGTACTTTTTTCAGAAAATAATTTATACGCCCGGCTCACTTCAGAAACTCTTCAGCCATGATGAGCTACAGTATGATGTCATGCAACAGTAAAATGACGCAGCCACATCTAGTGGACATTTGGGGATGTCAACAACACACTTTATTTAGACAGTTAATACAATCAAACTGGGCTCACCTTTTTTCACCCTTGTACCACTCGAATGTTGGAGGGGGGATAGCAGCTGCCTCGCACCTCAGCAGAGCCGTGCGTCCCAGACCAACTCCATGGCTTTTCATCTCATGGATAGTAGGAGCAACTTGAGGAGACCAACAGAAAAGTTTCTGGGTCAAACATACAGTTCCAGTCAAAACAGTTATGTGTGGTATCACCAGCATGAATGCAATCTAAAGGGAAAGGTATTGGTCCTAATAAAACAGGAAGCCCTGATGATGGAGGGTTGTTGAACTTGAGAAGGACAACCTTCAAATTCTTGATCGCTGCACACACATTATAAAGTGTAAATTCAACACTCGGAGTCTACAGAGGCGGAGTTGGGGAGGGAAGAGGGCATCCGTCCCCAATGTTAGAAAAAGAAATGAATTGCACTGCATGGTGATAAATGGCTTAATGGAAGTTCAAAGACTCAATGGCACAGGCAGGTTCTGTGAATACAAAATGAGTCTCCTTTCATGTGCTGAAATGTGTTGTAAATCTCTTTGCCAGTGTCATGAAGGCAGCTTTGCTTATAGACGTTTTTCTAACGCATACCCGTTCTTTTGTACTTCAAATATTTACTCTGCTTATAGTAAGACAGCCTTTAAAAAAATCATATTAATTCATTGAGGTTATATAGACTTACAACAATGGCATTCTGCTGCATGAGCTTGAACAAAAAACAAAAAAAAGCACTTTTTCCATTCCTTTCCCGTCACATAATAGGAATACAAATGTTAAACTTGTTATAATTATAACAATTGGCCATTGTTGGTATGATTCAAACAAACACAAAATGACCCTCTTTGAAAGATGGAGGAAAGCTGTGCTTGCAGTCAGTAGCACTGTTCCTCACTGAACTGACTGAATGCATACAGGGGTCCATGCCCGCTGGAAACGTTATGACTGGCTTCCTGCTTCTCCATTAATCAAAAGGAGAACCAATCATAATGATGCACATGCTTCAATCTGACATTGTTTATTGTGTAAACTTGGCTTGACTCTCACCAGCCTGACAAATAATAAAACTGCTCTAAACAATCAGATGCACAGTCATTTGACATACAATACCGGCTAAATTACTTTGTGTCATTCACACAGACTCTGATTAAAAGCCAATGATACAGGAAAAAACTGGAACTTCCAGGGTCAGTTCTGCAGCTAGCTGTAAATTGCCCAGCCATGTCTGAGAGTGAGATGTGGACTATTTAAATTCCTGACAATGAGCCTTTTTAAGAGTAACCTGTCAGCCTGAGATCTCTGCCTTTGTCCAGTGTGGGAGCATGGCCCCTGCCTGCAAACATTCCAATTGCATATGAAAATATTCTGGACAACCTCAATATGGGCAGCATATTGGGACACACCTTTAAGTACTAACTGGCATCACACTCCCAAAACGGCATACAGTGAGAAATTAATATAATCAACATGTCTATTCCTACTTAATAAAAAAAGTATTGTGCAATTCAGTTACATGTAAGTAGCCACATGCTTATATATGGCCTATATGTTTGTTGTTGTGAGATAGACATAGTGCCAACCGGAGAAAATCTGCATTGATAGATGAGGTGGGATCCAACAGATCTGTGCGAGGTGAAACAGACACATGTGAGCATTTGTACATGTGGCGTATGATCATGTCTGAAAGGCGCACTGAGGCGACATTGCGCTCTGTGATGATGGATGACCTTCCGCCAACCTTCTCCTGTATCCTAATGAGCACATTCGTATGACTAGTGTATGTTGATTTTCTGTCCTTGCTTATGTGTAGTAAGTATACAGTTATTTCCTTTCTTCTGCGACTGGGCTGAATAATCAGAAGGCATTCAGACAGTGATTCAGGGGATGAGCTATGCTAGAGCTTTTACTGTTCATATATCATTGTATGAAATGTTGGATGGCGCCATGCTGGGGGGCATTAGTAGACCTTGACGGGATGTCTGAGCTGGCTGTGTGTGCGTGTGCGTGTGCGTGTGCGTGTGCGTGTGTGTGTGTGTGCGTGCGTGCGTGCGTGCGTGCGTGCGTGCGTGCGTGTGTGTGTGTGTGCCCCTGTTACTTCAAACTACCCAATCTCAAAGCATCAACTATTTTCCGGCTAAATCTCGCACATGTTACAGATTGCTATAAAGACAACCAACTTAAAAATGACTAGTCCCATCAGCATCTTTGCAGAAGAGCAACAACAAGCTAGAGCAAAATGGTGCATGTGACAAACTCACAATGTTTGCATTAAAAGAGCACTAAAGAAGAGCTGTACAATATTTAAAGGAAAGTAAAGGAACAAGGGTAGACAATTGTAACTGTACTCCACAGCACAGAAATATAAGCCAATAACAAGTATGACAAAATCAATGCAGTATGCCGACAGACAGGCTTAAAGAATCCCTGTAATCCTCCATTGGTGTCATTGTGCGGGGCCATTGATTATGTTGAATCTCTGAAAGCACCAGGGTGACCTGGCTGTCGGCCGAACAGTAGCTAGGACAGCGGACATGTTGGCCAGGCAGGTGTGTCAATACTTGAAAACTCACTCAGGGAGCCAGTGTCTTTTATGTTAAAATTGAGGACTGAATACAACACTGGGAAACTGTCCAAATGTGTTCCTTTGATATATTTGAATAGTTGTATTTCTTTTTTCGAACTTGGAGCATTTTTATGTTTTCCCTTTATTTATTACCAATTGGATCAGCTATTTGCCAAAAAAAACATGGATTACCGTCCTTCATTAAAAGTTGGCTAAAATCCTGGCAAGCATCAAACGTTTAAACAACAAAGTAATTAAGAAATAATTTGTTATAAATATCTTAAAATAGCACAAACAGTATAAACAGTATATGCCATATTTCTTAGTGGTGTGAATAAGGAGAAGTAACTTTGAATATAAACCCTGGTTTCTTGACCAAAATAGACCAATGTCGGTACTGGTTTACAGTTCATGTATAATCGTCTCGGCACATTTTATAAAAGTTGACAGGAAGAGAGCTTCTATGCTTCAAATGACTAAAATTGTTGTTTGGGCAAAAGTAATTGTTCGTCTCATAACTCAAGTATATAACTTTTGCAAGACAATGAAATTGAGAAAAGTACCTACTGTACCCATAATGTTGTAGGTGGTCCAAAAAGCTGTGCTTTTATATGCATATCAATAATATCAAGTCTTTCCAATTTAAATCCTGGCCGGGGTCTGTTAAGACAGATCACAGCCATAAAATCCGGTCCAATCCAATAATTTCAATTTCAAAATGCTGGCATGTCCTATATCATCATATATCGTACAATATACCATCAGAATTTGGAGGGGGTAATGCAAAGTAGTGCACTAGAAATCATGAGGGCCCAATAATCCAGGTAATTTAGTGTCTAAAGCATGCTGTGGTGGTGCTGTAAATCATGCCTGGAGTCATGGCAACTCCACCAGATGGGGTAAGGGGTTTGCTCCAGAAATAGCACAGGCATGTTGGAAAAATGGGTGCTGTAAGGCCCTGCCGGGTGACAAATGGCCGGTTGTGGGTCGATCACAAACAGACTTCTATTACATTTGTATAATGCTGGGCTTGACATCAGAACAAAGACGATGTCTCCAGTTGTACATCTCTATGACACGCATGAACACAAGCATGTTAATGTTGAATACAAGGGTTAACCTTCTCTCCATCTAATATTAATGGACAGGGTGTGTTCAGAGAGCATCGCACCTTAATGTACAGGGCCTCACCAGGTCGCCTGCATTAAGTAATCCTCCTGTGACTATTAATGATTAATTGCTGCGATTCAAGACTGAACATGATTTATTTAGCTAGAAACTATTGTTTGCCAAGAGAACCCAGAGAACGCAGGCTTTTTAATTAAAAGATCAATTAATAACCCTACCTCTTCAGCCAGATTTGAAAATGAGTTTTCATTGCAATTAAGAAATGGACTCATCAGTGCATGACTTATCAGCTTACACACAGAGACACTGTTCCCCACTGCCATCTGTGGGCTTCATTGTCCTGTTTTTTTTTGTCAGTAAGGAATGGTTTTGCTGCCAAGATTTATTAATTAATTAAGATTTCTATTCAGGAAAGCTAGGGAACATTGTGTTCCTTCTTTTTAAACAATGCAAGGCATATAAATAACCGGCTTAGTGTGCAGGACTGTGAGGTTTGACAGCACCAGGGATTCAATATATTGTCTGTCTCAAACTCTAAATGGTTCAAGGTACCCAAATCCCCACCTATCTTACTTAATTCACATATTAAATGATGGGGTTGCTGGTGGAGGACCCCACCACAACCAGGACACATTGAATTATTATTCCCACTACAGGAAGTTTTAGTCAGTCACCCCTACCTGAGTAAAAACACATAACATTTGTGACTGTGATGTTAAAAGTATGTTGTTTGTTATGACTAGTAACAAAGAAATTGCAGACCAAGCTAAAATATGAAGTTGCTGTTTTAAACAGTACTAGCAAGAACATTTATTCTGCAGAAGATCAAGATTATGCTCACTTATTCAGGCCCCGCATGCAGCAAGGAATCCAAATAGCAATCAAGACGAGAGCTTTGGAGAGATGTAGAGGGATGGATTTACATCCAAACAGCTCGAGGGTACTGGCTTTAACTCTACTTAGGGTTGGATCAGAATCCAATTCTAGGAAGCCTTCTCTTTTGAATTGTAAGCCACAGTATTTCAATGGATACCGCAAACTGTCGACAAATGTTCAACCGAGACTCTGTGTCTAATGTTTAAATACTCTAATACTAGTTTTCATTTAACTACAATGAACATTTATCGTACCTTTGATCCACCAGTGCAATCCACCCAGCACTGAAGAAGACGTACACACACTCACGCAAACACACACAATATGAAGGACATACATGTAAATGCTGTGTACAGCTATGCAAATGTTATATTACACAATGAATCTCAATAAGAAATGCTAATGCTGTACACACATTCTCACACCCCACTAATAGTTGTTTACTTTCTTATCATGACTTGACATACTGTAATAATTCTAATACAGGGGGTCATGAAGATGTATCTCCTGGCCACGAGTACACCTCTTATTTATCAGAGATGGCCGTGACTCCCCTGAACAACTCTGTCAGGGGCGTGCGAGGGGCATGTAGGGGGAGTATCTAACCGGGCAGGGATTGAATTCAAAACAGGCCCGGGTGCTTTCAAGGGAAAGGCACGGGTGGAGCAAACAAAAGACAAGGTGTTGTAAAGAATTTGAAGTATTCACAGTATGCCCCTGCATTTCAATTATGTCCAGAACTCCATCAGCACTGGCTGTAATTGCTTAAAGCACGTCTAATGTGCATGCTCATAATTAATTAAAAATGATCACAGTTTTGTTGGCCAATTACAGCTAGCAGAAGAGAAGGTGAGGTGCTCTTCTTTTTATAAACACGCTATGGTCAATATGTGAGCTGGATTCACAGCTGCAGGCTGCTGGAAGAGGAAGGAGGCGTATAAATGGCTGGCAAACTTAAAAGCATACAGGGCATCGCTTCACTCGGAAAAGCAAGTGCAACCTTGCCATGAAGAGAAACAAGTGATGTTGAAGAGGGAGAGACGCCAGCGCAGTACTAGACCTGAACTTTACACCGAGAAAGGAATGGATGAGTTCATACAGACTCTCAGCAAACAGCATGAAAGCACACAGAAAAAAAGTAAAAAATAGTGTGTCAAGAGGTACCCAATTAAACTTCAAAATGGGTGCAAAGACAATGCCGTAAATATTCTGCTCTAACTTTCTCAGAAATGTGGCGGTTACATAATCAGTGGCTTCATATAAAAAACAATTTGCATAAACATAAATTAGAGGAGAGACAAATATCTAGTAAAAGCCAGGATCTTCCTGCTCTGCATCAATAATTCAAACATCTGTGGTGCTAACATGGCATCGACTGTCTTCTTTACACATTTATTTCCAGCAAATTGACTTGCGGCAGCTTTGTGATTATTACTTGGAGAGATGGAGAGACGATCTGAACATCTGCCATGGTTCCAGACGGCTATAGATAAAGCACCTAAAACAGTGACGAGCAAATGAAATGTAGCAAAACAAGACAGTTGGTTGTCTACGTACCTTCCATGTGTAACTAAAGTTTGTGCAAACTGTCAAAACCCATCTTGCAACATGATGCTCAACCTCTGTAGTGTCACTCATCTAATAAGAAGTGAGAGCCGACAGCTCTCTCCGCCTCAACTACAAAGCAAGGTCAGACATCTTTGATTTCCCAGCTTGAAAAAGAAACAGGTTTTCATTATTGTTCTATGTGTATGTAGTTGGTAATGGACACCTTCATTCTACAATAAGCTGGCTTCATTAATTAATCAAACAGTGGCTTTTTATCTCAGGCGGAGGTTTTCCACGGTTGTTTCCTTCTCATTCATCCCTCTGACTTAGACACCTCGATGTGATATGTATGCCTTTGTGTCACACTGTGCAGTGAGAGTTCCAGCCAATAATGGCACCCACCTGCAGCGAAGATGAATATGTAAATTTGAAAAAGTAGGTCAGAGATCAGATTTCTTCAGGTAAAATCACTCCTGAAATATCCTTTAGTCAAGCAGGGCTTTTGAGCCAATCTGATTCTAATATCACTCTCTGGATGACCGCCATGTTTTAGTATGCAGGCGTCATCCATTCATCACCAGAAGTATAAAGACAAGAGACAAAGGCATGCCAGTCTTTTAAGCCTTTGTAAAATTCCAACAAAGGTTACATGTGCTGGACTTAGCACGTAGAAAAGGGTGCACAATGACAATGCCTGAAACCTTCTGCCTCTCAATCATCGTATCATAGAAAGCCAAATGGCAGGCTGGTTGTCTACGCAGGCTTAGTGTTATGGACTGCCTGGTGTTATTACAACTCTAAAAATGCTAGAGCTTAATTTTGTTTTCATTACTTTGGTTTGCTTATTTTAATTAGTGGCCTTAATCTGTAATTAGCCTGCAGAGGTCAACTATACTCTTAGCTTTAAAAAAAACAATTTGTTTTGAAAGCAGAGAGAAATTGTTTGGACATGTATTTAATTAGACTGTTAACCCATGAAATGTCGGTGTCACACGCTCGCTCATTAGAACGATAAAAGAGAAATAGTGCAGGCATGGCTGATTGATGTTTATGACTTGATTTAATTGAACTGCTATTAGCAAGAATGATACTCTGAGAGGACCAAAGCTCATACTGATGGGTTCAGTGACAGTACACTACTAAAGCCTCTTACCTAATTAAGCAACCTCCAATGAAACTGGAAGAACTGTATGACAAGAAGAGACCTAAAGTCCTTTTTTCTGTCATCATTCTGTTTGGTTATTTCCAAAAAAGAGTATTTATTTAAAAATCTTCCAACTGGCACATTTCTAGTAGTTGATTGACAAGAGAGTAAAACTGACACCTGCAGATTCTCCCAGGAGAACCTTTATGAAGTTCAGTGGCTGATGTTGTCAGCTGAGTAAAACATCTGTATGAACATGTGCCCATACAGTGTAGTTTGCTTTTAATAACGTTCATTACTTGCTTCTTGCTATGTAATTATCCTCTCTTGTTTGAGTTTCTGTGTCAGCTCACATCTTTATCTTAATTCAGTTTTTGGCATATTGAGCCCTCATCAATACCCCCCGCTCCTGGGCACTGGGTGAATATAGCTTAATGTGTGACAGTAAAGCATGAATGATACAGTGGATTGGGATATGGTCCAAATGCTTCTCCCTTTTCTTCACAGAGGGAGGACTGCACCGGTGGAGAGGAGGCAGTGAAGAGTGGCCACCAGCTGGATCCAGCTCCGCCTGCTGTGGCCATATCAGCCGCTCCAGTGGACAACTTAAATGTATCTATTCTGCCCCTTTTCTTTGTAAATGAGCAATTGTCGCACGTCTCCAAATGGGAGATGCGAGTAAACTTTCACAAGCAAAGCCATTAAAAAGAAAGATTAAACACTATTTAAAGCTATGACATATTAAAGTTACGATTTTTCAAACAGCTACCTCTCGGAGCCATTTGAAGGTCTTGACAACTAAAGGTGCTTTGTGCAGCTTAATGTCAGCGATGTGTTTTGTTTATGCAGGTCTCATAGTTGCGCAGCACTTGGAATGCTAAACAGCAGCAATAAAACACAGGACCTTTCATGTGTGAGGTGCTTGTGAGGACAGAAAAGTCTGACTATCGAGTTACATGTTGGCTATAGCTCAAACAGGACGTCAAGAATTATGAAACATTTATCAATTTAGTGGGAGGGAGCTCTGGCTTTTACACTTAGGCTGATAATCTAATGACTGCAGACCTATTTAGAATACAAAGGTGTCAGAAAGACTTTGTATATGTACTTAAACATGTAAAGAATTTCCATCTTTTATGATTATAAGTAAAATGCTACATTATGGTTTAAGATTCTCTGCCTTTTAAAACCCATTATTTAGATAATGTCCTTGAAATCCCGCTGCTGCTTTTTTTTAATCCAAGTCAACTGTCGAAATTGTATTTATTATATCACATAGCATTTCAAAGAAAGGCACGTGAAGTGTTTCTAAAGACTCGGTGAGATACGGAACCATTTTTCAGTCCAGAAGGCAGAAGTCATGTTAGAGTTTATACCCCACACAGTGACCTCCTTTAGACATTTTTCAACTACCAAATCACTGCTATAGCAACAGGGTTATATAGAAAATCATATTAAACAGACATTATAACCCCTTTCAAAGCCAATATATAACATACCATTTGGACTTATTGAAGGAGTCAAAAGATATCTGGACAATTCTGCTCAATCATAAAGGACGAGGTCCGGTCAGCGACAGGAACAGCTCTGGAGCTCTGTCAGCCTCAGATAACTCCGGCAGAGGGCTTAACACTTGACTACAGCCCACTCCCATCCAGAGTATCGCTCCGGTGCTCACTCTGTGGTGACTTTGTCTGACAGCAAAAGTCTTCCTAATCAATTCCCTCAGTTTGGAAGCTAAACCCACATAACCCTGCTGTCTCGCTTTAAAATACGGCGTCCAGCTATGACAAGCCTTATCAATCACTGTGAATATCTCCTTTGTTCTGCAGCATAAAGACACTCCCAGTTGTCAAAGCACTTTTCATCCTTGAACCCATGTCTCAGAAGCTCTATAAATAACTGGCATCGAAAAAATCCACCACTCAGACCCAGCTCATTAGAGCCAGACATTACAGAGAAATAATAGCCACAATGGCTTGGTTTTTATAACGAAGCCAGAACAAATTCTTAACTCAGAGAGGTGGAAATAAAGTTAAGCCATTATTGAATTTTTTATTTTATTTTTTAAAGAAGAGTAAAATCATTGAAATACTGTGTATGAAATAAACCATTTTTATTTCCTAAAACTTGCATGATTAGCTTTCAGGGTATGACTCAGTAACTGGGCCAGGGGGAGTGTTTTTTTCTCACTCACTCTTCATCTCCATCCTGTCCCTGTAGCCGACTGCCTGTTAAGCTCTGCCAAAAGTGAGATTTAGCACAGGGCATCTATGCAGAAACCTCCATGAATATCAGTAAAGTATATGAGCACTTTTAAAAGGAGAAGAACTGGCAATAATTGTCAAGCGCCCATTCCTGCTCAATACTTACGAGCAGTGATTTCCATATGACCACCACAGCTAAAGTCCAGTATCATTCATTAATGACCCGGCTCCTCATTACTGTCTCCTCACTCTTTTGAAAGACTCATTACCTGCATAATGGAATAGTGCTTAGAACAGTCAGACCTTTCCTTAGTGTGAATTAATCACCCACATGCGCGGACAAAAAGGGAATTCTCACATTAAATATTAAGAAACCTCAAGCCCTAGCTTTCTACTTTTTCAAACTTCTAGAAGGTGTACTCTCTTGAAGTGCACCGCCAGGTACATGACACTGGTATCATTGAAGACTCCCCCGCTGTCTTTCATGTGTCTGCAAGGCCAGCGTGGACAAAAAGAAAGTAAGGAAGGAAGAAGAAAGAGATACACTTACAGTTGACTGTGACTTTCATTGTTTTGGTGTCAGGAGAGGCGATGTCATTTAAAGCACTGCATTCGTAGTCTCCAGCCTGGTCCCTTGTGATGCCGGTGATGTTAAGATATTCACCGCTGTCATACTTCCTGGCTGGAAATAGAAAAATGGAGGCAAGTACTTACACTGTGTCCACAAAGAATACAAACAGAGCACACACACACACACACTGTACATATGAATACACTGTATATAGCTGAAGGCTTTGTGCAGCCTATGGTAAGATAAGATGGTGGTTTATTTAGAATAATATCTTTCAAGTTTAACCCTGAGTAGAAGATGTAATGCCATTAGGTTTTCTACTGAACTCCTGATTACCTTCCCTGCATTCTAAAATAGAAGAATGCACAGCTCATTGATCGATTTATATTGACATGGTAGCAGGAAATTAAATAATGGTCTATTCCCAGTCATCCATTCATCATTTGCACCACACCAACGCAGTTAGAGCTACTTCCTGTAAGACAGACAGATTTGTTGGCTCAATGCACATGTCAGTGCTTTGTAGTTAGCCAACAGTGCCAAAGGCAGAAGCAGCAAAACACCATGACTGGCATATTAGCTGGAGGGAGTGAATCCAACAAACATGTCCACTCCGATCAACAAAGAAACATTGAAATACCTTAGTGCTGTGCTCTAGAAACTAAATATTGTAGTAAATAAATCAATTGTTGGAAATGTATTCTTAGTAAGACGTGAACAAATTGTAATTGCAAATAAGTTATAATGGGATACGGTATTCTGTCGGGTGTAATAGTGTTTGAATAATCAGGATGACATTAAGTAAAGTTATTCAAACTAAAGATTTGTAATGAGCCGACAAGCCATGGATAATTGCATAAAGGTAAGATAGTTGTATGGATGGATAGATGGATAGATGGATAGATGGATAGATGGATAGTTGTATGGATGGATAGATGGATAGATGATGGATAGATGGATAGATGGATAGATAGATAGATGGATGGCTATGAAATTGGAATACTCATAATGAAACCAATTTGACGGGGTGTGCTTGTATAATAAATGGATATAGAATCTCAGCATGCAGCACTGTGTATGTTTATTAGATAGACTGTGGCAGATTCTCGCATGACCAGAATTAATTTCCAAGCCAGTGGTTCTCAGTGTGAAATCTATTTATATACCACTACGCAGGGTGGTAATGGTGGTTGGGGATTGAAGGTGTGTGGATGTGTTTGGAAAGCATGGGGATCAAACAGAGTGCACAATCTAGAAAACTGAGCCCAAAATACCGTTCACAAAGCAGCAGAGACCCGACACTGACTCGGCAATACCTCACAAAAGAGGATCAAGAATGAAGACACTCCATTCTTCAGGAGTGGATATACTGCCATTTTGTGCTGCCAATCTCCTCTGCAAGTGAGCTGAATTCTTATGTATTGCCACTTCGTTATTCTGCAACCATGGTGGCTTTTATCTACTAGCTCCTATGTCAAAATCTTGAAACGGAAGGCATTGCGGATAATGAGCTTTCCTGTCTCTTCTCACACAACGATGGAGTCCCAGAGTCTTGGCAAAGATATTGGTAGCCATACAAAAACTGCAAAGGAAAGAAAAATGTTGATCCATAAACAAGCACCGGATGTGTCTGAAAAACAGAACTGTGTTAATATGCCAAGAGAGCACAGGGAGGGAGAAAAAACAAAAAGAGCTCTATTTTTGTGAAGGAGTATGGCTGAGAGCTGGGCATTGCACCAGTGAAAAGAATGTTTAAGTTGTGTTAAAACACGTAATCCCACTGATGTGGAGTAGGAAGTGCAGTATAGAAGTGATCTGATGGTGCTGTGCGAGTTTGTATTTAAAAAATAAAGTATGTATGCAGACTATGTCAACATGGTTCAATTTGTGGTCATTCCTTAACCTGTTTATAACATATACAGAAAAACCTATGCTTTCAGTAAATGATATTATGGGAAATGTGACTTTTGCACATCTTTTTCAAGCAGGCAATAAGTAAGAGAGGACTGGAATGAAAGATTCAGAATGTTTTTGTCAAAATGTGTCTAGCAACATCTAGGATCTCTACAGACAAACAGAGATCGGCCATCAAGTGTTTTTCAGAACTAAATCAGATTTACATTTACACATTACATTACAATTTGATTCAAATGAAAGAGTTTGGTCGATGTGTGAATTGTATTTCCTGTAGTTTCAGTGAAGGTCATTGCCTGTGCGGTAGCCCTGCACAGACCCATGTCCTCAGTAATATGCATAGAGTTAAAGGTCACCTATTATGCAAAATGTCTTTTATACATAAATATGTGTCCCCCTCTGAGATTCTGAAAGTTCAGGAAAAAAGATTCTCTCTCTTTTCGTCCTGATCCATTTATATAAAAACCTGTCTGAAAATGAGCAGATCAGATTTTGGCCACTTTATGATGTCTAGGGATGGGTACCGAGCCCCGGTATTAAACGGGCCCTGGGGCTGAATTATTAAAGACCGTGGTACTGTTAAGCTCCGACGTTATCGGTCTTTTTATCGGTACTGGAGACATCTAAAAAATATGTATTATGTATTATGCTACACAAACATTATATTGCAGTTTTAGTGTCGCCAACTCCGTTTCTAATATGCAAAAAGACTGCAAAATGCATCTATGATTGTTTTTAGTATTTTCGATCTCTCCAATCCAGACGAGAGATCTCTCTCCCCCGTCTGTGTGCGAGGGGGCGGGGCAGTTTACACACACTCGGCTGCTACATGCAGCAACACACACACACAGAGGAGATGGCGGAGAGAACGTGCTCCACGGTGTGGTTAAACTTTACCCGTCTCGATGTGGACAATGCTCGTTACCAAAAGTGCAATGTTTAGCATGTAAGGGCGGTAACACGAGCAATTTGTCTAAACATTTAGCAAAAGTGCACCACATCCAGACGGAGAAATGCACCGTTTTCGACTGTCTTTCTAGTAGCTTTGTAGCCCCATCCACGAGTAACGTTTCCACGTCAGGTATGTTGTGTATGCTAGCAGCAACACACGGAGCTAACTAAATTATATAAACATGGGTTAATGATTAGAGGTAACTGAGTTATTTATTTTGTTAAAGTTTCAGCTATTCTGTTTACAATTCTGTCATCACATTATTTAATAAAACACTGTTGTTTCTTTTGATGTGAAATATTATTTATTTAATTTAAATAAAAAGCAATGTTAATTTTGTTCACAATTTGTTTAGTTAGTTTACCTCATTTTTTTCTCTCCAAAAGAACCGATAAGAGTACCGTTAAAGGACCGGATCGATAAGCGGTATCGATAAGCGGTATCGATAAGCGGTATCGATAAAAGTAGTAGTACCGTTAAAACCTTAACGATACTCATCCCTAATGATGTCATAACGTTTTTTTGGCTTGTGTAACCATTAGCCAATAACCAACCAAGGTAACCCCCCCCCCGACCTTATCACCCGAATCTCCTCCTAGAGCACCTTTGTGTTCTTTTTAACCAAATATCTCAGAGGGGCGTGGGGAGTGGCTCCTTATTTTCATCTAAAGTAACAGACAGAGAATCAGCACTTTTGAAACAGGGCTGAAACAGAGGGGATTATGGGATGCTACAATGATCTGTTTGGTGTTTCGAGCCAAACACTCCAGAGACATGTTTTGCATATATCTGAGACCTATAATATATTGATGAGAAACAGTATAATAGGGGACCTTTAATGCTAAATCACAGTTGAAGTTTTCCATGAGCTTAAAATGTTACAACACCATGTTTCTGCAGTAGCTCAGAATAGACCAAACCTGTATGTAAAAATTGTAACATTTCCCTTTTTTTAACAAAATTAATGTTGTTTTTTATTAACCTATATCAGTGTGAACAGACAAGGGAAATAATGACCTGAGGCTAAGGCTCATTTATACAAGGCATGCACACAGACCGACTAAAATGCACTTGCGAAGGCATATTTAAGTGAGGCTCAAGCACTTTGACCATATGTTTTAATTCACGGTGAGTAGTGAGTAGTAGACATTAATAGAATATCCAGAGAGCTGAGGATAGCTGCGGGTTACATTTACTGAATGCATTACAGTTCTGCAGTCTGGATGTAAAGCTCTGTCGACTGATGTGGCAATCCCTGCCCAAGGTTCTCCGACACTTTTGGAAAGGCAAGGTTGAGTGCAGGAGTGATCAGTTGGTTGCATTCTACACACTGGACCACACTTAATAGACCTGATTTCAGCACACAGCACAGTCCACATTATGATTAACTGTGTTAAAAAGCCTTGAGAAGAGGCATTTGTTTGCTCTCCACGTGGTATTGATTACTGATGTAGTTTTCATAGAGCTTTAAATTGGTCATATATGTACATCTCTTCAGTAGACACACAACAGTATCAGTATCAACACAATACTGAACATTATTATGAAGGCTGATGGGTGTTTAGTTAAGTTTACATCAGGAAGGGGCAAATTATTTCGGGAAAAAATCAAGCAACAATTACTCATGACTGATGCCATGGACTCATACTGTTTGTATTGGTAAAATGTGACACATACTGTTTGTTTAATTACGCACCACTGATTCATAAAAAGGGGTCAGGACGTGTATATATATTCGTCAATGGTATGTGTGTCAAAGGGTAAAACATAAAAAAACTAAGTACATTGTAATAGTCTCCACAAATACAGCCTTTTATGCATTTTTGTGAAACATTATTGGTTCCACTGTGTCAAGCTTCTTTATTGTAATAAATAACCAAATGTTTTATCTAAATCACAGAAGCCTCCCAACCGTTGCTGCTTTTGTCGACTATTGTGAAGCACTTTGTGACTTCCGCTTAGACAGCTGCTATATAAATGCACTTAATTATGGATTATAAAAAGAACTATAGACTTTCACAGGCTTCTGTCTCAGTGCCCTATACCAGCCCCACAGCCCCCTCACTCTCTTACACCAAGTAGATACCATGGTTGACCTATACACTGCCCTTAATGCACAGTTCCAGTGTATTCCACAGTAATGGGGAATTATGATACGCAGGATGTAGAAATCCACTGTGTGCACTTGGGTCTTTTACTAGGGCAATGAAATTAGAAACAGTGACCCATGAGGGAAAGTATGCCT